ACAGGTGTCTCTTGCTCACTGAAACACCTTCTGCCCTTTTGTGAAATGAGGTTAATAAAGCCCACTTAATCTAGTCAGTGAGCCAATGAAGGCGAAAGTGTCAGGTCAGGCCTCCAGCAAATGCTTATTTGGCAGAGCACCCTGGAGTGGCACACCCTGGGAGGGGGGATTAGAGAGCCTTTTAATCCTGGAAGAGGTTATCTTATTTAGCCCCCTTTTATTTCACAAGAAAATACTGAGGCTCAGAGAGGGTCATGTCTTACTTAAGGTCACACAGCAAATTAGTGGAAGAGCTGGAATTGAATTCAGTTCTCCTGCTCCCAATGCAGCCAGTGCTGCTTGCTTGTGCCTGAGGATGCTCCGAGTCTTGCCTTGGCCTTGCCCTGGCCCCATCTGCACATGGACCCCTAGGAGTGCCCCAGTACCAGCCTCCTGGCTTAGTCCTACTCCTCTCTGGGATCCCTTCCTGTCCCCTGACCCCAGCTAGATACTGGGCCCCTCCTCAACGTGGAGCAAATGTGCTAGGCCCAGGCAAAGGCCTGAGAGCCAGAAGGAGAAATGTTCTGGCTTCTGTTTCTGGTTCTAACCTGGGCCTGATAGTGAATCCTGCTCTTGCTATGGCCTCAGCATCCTCCTCTGTAAAATGGGCACAAGCCGCCCACTCTATACACACACATCCCTCCCACCCCAGTGCCCCTCTCTCTGCAGAGAGCCCCTCCTGGCTTAGGGACAGAACTCTAACAGAGCCTCTGGGCTCAGAGACAAAAGGGGCCCGTTCCTGGAATTGCCTATCCCTAGGGAATTGGAGGAGAGGGGTGGGGCCTTCCCTGTCCCCAGACTGTCAGGTGGTGGGGGCAGCCTGAACAACAGCAGGCTGACGGCATACTTCCCCCTCCTTTCCCCCATCTCTGCCGGCAGCCACCGCAGCTGTCAGGAATTAAGGGCTTGAGGCTGCTGGGGGTGGGGGTGGGGCAGTTGGGGGGAGCAGTCTGGCTGGACAGCAGGAAAACAGCTGGGGGCAGGAAGCAGACTGCGTCAGCCAGAGCCTTATTTGACCCCAGCTGCCCCCTGCCCTCCCCACTCTCCCACCATGCTACAGGGACAGGGACAGCTTGGGACTAGAGTTTGGGAAGGGAATGGGGAGGGACAAGGTAGGACCAGACTCAGCACAGGAAGGAGGCAAGAACCCAGGATGGGAGAGGGCAGCAGCAGGCTGTTCTCATTGGCTGTTGAGGAAACTGAGGCCCAGAAAAGATTAGGAACAGGCCCAACATGACACAGAGAAGGGGTTCTGCGACATAATCCAGTCGCAGACCTCCTTGCTCCCTATCCAGTGCTCACATTAGCATTTCCCACGCTTGAAGCATCGTATGTATTCCCTGGGGGAGGTCATTGTGGGAAATACCGATTCGAGGCCCCACGCAGTTGAATCAGCCTTTCAAGGGAGAAGGCCTGGGGTTCTGCATTTCTAACCAGTATCCCAAGTGATTTCGGTGGGGCCCACCTTTGAGGTTAGCCTGCTTACCTAGCTGAACAGCTGATTTTTCCCTGTGGCCTCTCTCTCACCTCCACTTTGCATAAAACAGAGGTGCAATGGAGACAGAAAAGACCTTTTCTTTGAAAAACCCAGAAGGCAAATAATGATCCCCAAGGCTTGCATTCAGGCGTAGTTCTGGCCTGACGTCACAAGGGCCTAGACGTGCCCAAGTCTGGAGCATTTCTCAGGCCAGGGAGCAGAGGGTATACATAGGTGCAGAGCCTTGGCATGTATGTAGATGTGGCCCAGAGAGTGTCTGTAGCTAGGGCCCCAACCCCAGATGACCCACGCTGTGGCCAAGCCCCTATCAGCAGCCTCTAGTCCCCACCCCAGCCCTGTCCCTGCCCTGGCTCTCAGCCCAGCCCCAGCCCCCGCAGCCGCCGCCCTAGACCACAATTACAGAGGCTACTGGGGTGGGGGAGCACCGGGGATGAAAGGCAGCTTGGAGAATGGTTCCAGCTGTGGCAGCTCTGGAGGAGGTCGCAGGGAAGGAGGGCCAGGGGGAGGCACCAGGGTGGGAACAGGTGAGACCCTCACAGCCCTAGCCTAGCCCAGTCCAGCCCTGGCTCAGTCCCAATGCTCAGCTGAAGTTTGTCTTGGTGAAGAAGAGAGGGAGGGAGCCCCAGACTAATAGGGGTCTCTGTCCCATTGTCCAGGGACCCCCTCCCCAGCAAGGTAAGGGGGAATAGCTTGCTGCTTCAGTCTCCCAAACTCCTAATATGTTTGGTCATTGAAGGGAAGGGAAGATGTCTCCTGAGCCCTTGGTCTCAGGCTGATCCTAGCCTTCCACCCAGCCTCCTCACCCATCTGCCTGCATTCCTCCTGTTCCTGATGTGGTCACGCACACATCTGGGGTGCCTCTGTGCTCTTTCCCCCATCTCCCCAGTTCCACATGTTCCCCACTACCCAGCCAGCAGGGGACCTTGATGGCTCAGACTGTGCCTGGGGCTGAGTAGCTGGGTGAGCAAGGGGGGGCGGTGATGGGGCTGAGCCCTGCCTCCAACCCCTTCCCAGGCAGCAGCATGAGAGCACAGGGCCATCTCTGAGCTCAAAGAGGACCAGGCTAATGGGGCCAATGGTGCCTGCTCTCATCCTTCATAGAAGGTAGTTCCCAGACTCCTCTGGGCTTGATCACAGAAGATGGACCATGAACATGTGGCTAGCAGTTTAAAAACTGAAATGCACTGTCACAAGGTACTAGGATCAGGCATCCCTATTTCATGACAGGAAGGCTGAGGCTCAGACAGGCTCAGACTTGGCTGAAGTCAAGCTAGCAAACTAGGCCTTTTTCACAGTACCATACTACTTCCTCTGAACTCCTTTTAACCTCTTAGGGTGGTGTTAGTTCATGCCACTGCCCCAGTTTCCCTCTGTGGCATCATGGAAAAAGATATCCAGCATCACCCACCCCATCTTACCCTAAAGTACCTGACAGTGGCAGAGACTGGGAGGCTGGAGTCCCAGCCCTTTGCCCGGGCCAGCCCAGAGGTCCCAGACAGTCTGGGACCCTGGCCACTTGATCCAAGTGATCCACAGGTCTCCTTGCTTCCTTCCAGTCCAGCCATCTCCTACCCACCACTCTCTGAGTTCTCCAGATGTCCTGCAGGTCCTGTCACTCCCTGTTAATAGGGAAGCTGGGCTGTGCGTGCCCCCTGGTGGTCTCTGAGAGAAATGCAGGATTTTTTTTTTCAAAGGTCAGCACAGAGCTTTGGGGAAGGCAGACCGGTGATTATAAATAAATCCTGCCTTCAAGGAACTTCATTTCTCTCTGTGTGGTCCACAATGTAGTTCCATTCTCCACTGTACACCATGATAAGATAACAGAGTCTCCTTTGGTCAAGAGGTTCTGAGTCCAAATCCTTCATGACTTCCCCAAGGCCCAGGCATCTGATCTGAGGGAGCCAGGAGGAGGCAGGAAGGAAAGCCCAGATGCCCCATCCATCCCACTGCAGCCTGACATTGTGGGGCATTGCGGGTGGGGTGAAGGACAGATGTACTGGACAACATGGTTAAGCTCATCCAGGATGAGTTCCGCTTCCTTCTATTTGAAGAACTTTGCTTTCCTTCCTGAGCCCCACCGCCCGCCCCATTCTAGGAGGCTGCCAATCCCAAACAGTACATCTCCCTGCACACCATTATTGGTTCAGGGTTAGGCAAATGACCAAGCAGAATGAATCAGGGTCTTCTTTGGGCCTTCTGCTGGAGATAACTGGGAAGGTCAGTCTTCTTTTTTTTTTTTTTTTTTTTTGAGACAGAGTCTCACTTTGTTGCCCAGGCTAGAGTGAGTGCCATGGCGTCAGCCTAGCTCACAGCAACCTCAAACTCCTGGGCTCAAGCAATCCTGCTGCCTCAGCCTCCCGACTAGCTGGGACTACAGGCATGCGCCACCATGCCCGGCTAATTTTTTTCTATATATATATTAGTTGGCCAATTAATTTCTTTCTATTTATGGTAGAGACAGGGTCTTGCTCTTGCTCAGGCTGGTTTCGAACTCCTGACCTTGAGCAATCCGCCCGCCTCGGCCTCCCAGAGTGCTAGGATTACAGGCGTGAGCCACCGCGCCCGGCCCAGTCTTCTTTTTTTGAATCAACAGCTCTAAGAACATAGGCATAGAGCTGTCACATGGCAAAGTCTGCTGAGGAGAGAATGAGGACAATATGCAAGGAGAGGCAGAGATACACAGAAACAGCAGACACGAGAGCAATGAGGCAAGGAGATGAGAGAGACCTAGGACATCATTTGAGCCCCTGATTTCAGCTGTACCTGAATTCAGATTTATCCCTGGACTTCCCAGGTATGAGAGCCATTCATTAATTCCCTTTGGACTCAGCTAAAAGTTGAGTATCTTCATTTGCAATCAGGGCCTGCTCAATACCTGCAAAGCATCACCTCTCTATACTCATTCTCACAGTAACTACCACTTATTAAAGATAAATTTGACATAAATTATTATGTGTCAAGTGCTATGTTAAGTGCTTGCATATCTCAAAAAAAAAATCCTTCCAACAATCCTATAAGGATGTAGGGTGGATTATAATGGATGCAAGTTCTTTGCCGCTCCTTCCATGGAGTGCTGTTAGCTATTTCCCCTCCTGTTGAATTTTGGCTGGCTCTGTGGCTTGTGTCAACCAATAGAGAATGGCAGTGATGCTATGGAACTTCCAACACTGGGCCTTACAAAGAGGTTCTGCCTTCAAGCTTGGTACACTCTCTTTTAAAAGTCAATGTTATGTAAGAATTTCTATTATCCTAAGGCCACGATGCTGTGAGGAAGCCCAAACTAGACACATGGAGAGGACCAAGATCACTGGAGAGCTCTTAGGCCCAAGACAAACTCACTTCCTCTCCCTGTAAGAATGATTAGAATGCTGTTCTGGGCAGTCTCTGCAATGTTAATAGGGGTGAAGCTAGTTCTGACAGTGACAAAATCTGGCGTTGTTAATAACGTATTTCCATCACATTATACAGTTTATAAAGTGCTTTAATCCTATGGGCTTGCATGGCCTTAAAACTCTACCCTTGAATTCCCCAGGGGTCACAGAAACAGACACAATCCCCTAAATATTAAGACAAGGGCTCGTCCCAGAGCTGAGCACATCACCAGAGGCTTCTGGTCCCCTTTCCTAGACCGTCCCTTTCACTCTGTCCCTTTAATAAAGAGGAATTGCTGTTTCTTCCCCAACTTGCAGCTCCAGGCCCCAGATGTGTGACGTGTGACGAGTGAACAAGAAGAATGCCAAGGGAGGGTTTCCAGAACTCAGCCCCGTTGGAGAGGGATGGGACAGGGACCAGTAAAATGACCCGGAGACCCTAGTTCCATCAAAACCACCTCCCTTTACACGCTGGTTCCGGAGCCTGGCCTTCTGACAGCCCACAGGAGACCAGCCTCCTCCCAGACTGTGGGTCCAGTCCTATTGGTTTAAATATGTTTATTGATACTAAATTCACCTGCCCATCCCATGGCCTGCAGTTCTGAGGAGCCTCACATCCAGAGGCCTACAGACTGGCTTTTTGGGTTCCACCTGGGGACCAAAGGCAGGAAGGCCGGTATAGTCTCCCTCAGAAACTCCCCGAGCGCCTTTGGGGGGCTGCCAGGCGCCGGTGGCCTTCGCGGGCAGCCGGGTAGCCGTACTTCTCAAGCCCCGCGCCGCTTCCAGAGGCCTGGGAGATGGCCTTCGCGAGGGAGAGGCCGGGCCGGGCAGCGCCCCCTGCTGGAGCCCTGAGGTCCCGCAGGTGCGAGAGGCGGCTCTGCGCAGTGAGTTTAGAGGCCCGGCGGCGGGTCAGAGGCAAAGGCTGAGCTCCTTGCGCACGCGGCAGCGGTGGCACTGCACCACGCAGCACCAGTGGAAGCGGCACAGGCAGTTCTCCTCGAGCTGCACGCTCTCCTGGCGGTGCCCGCGGCCGCAGCACAACAGGTCGCAGCCGCTGAGGTCCGGGGCGCTGCTATTGCAGGCGCGGCCGCGCGTGCCCGGCGAGCCAGTGCGCCGGTTGGGGGCGCAGAAGTCCGGCGAGTCTGCCGCGTAGAGGAGGTCGGCGCGGCCCGGCGGCTTGAGCGTGCGGACGGCGGGCAGCAGGGCCTTGCCGTCGTTGGTGCCCATGACGCGTGAGGCGCCGTGGAAGCGCTCCAGCAGCCACGCGCCCACCTCGCGGAACGGGGGCAGCTTCTGCCAGCAGGTGCGCAGCGCGCACGAGCCGGACAGTCCGTGACACTTGCACTCGGTGCGCGTATGGCTCCGCACGGCCTGCAGGGAGCAGAGGGACGGGCGGATGAGGACACAGAAGGGACAGAAAATAAGATTGGGGGTGGCAGGTGAACAGAAGAAAGGAAAATGCAGACCAAAAAAAAAAAAAAGAGCGCAAGGTGAGCAGCAGGAAATCAAGGAAGCGACAGTTCAGAAAGGAGGAGGAGGAAAAATAAGGATGGGGGAGGGTAAGAGAAGTGGGGAGTGGGAGGACAGTATGTAGTGCAGAGATTCCAGGATCCAAAGACAGAGGATGGGAGAGAAAGCAGAATGGACGGCAGGGGTGAGATTCTAGAGGAGGGGGAGAGGTGGCAGCTGTCGAAGCCTAGCCCTCCTGCCAGCCAGGCCCCCTCATTCCTGCCCTTCTGGGCCCCAGGCAGGGCTGAGCAGAGACGCAGAGCCAGCCGCCTGGGCGTCTGTCTCCGCCAGCCCTCCCTAACTCTCCCCAACAGGTATGTGGGCCTGTCTGGACATTCCTCTCTGGGCCCCTTTCCCCCAACCCCCCATCGAAAGCCTCAGGCCCCAAACCCTAGAGGACACAGGGTGTGTGTGGTGGTGTCCCTAGAGGACCCTAGACCTGAGATATAGGGTGCAGGAGGGCCCACTGGTAATGCACTACAGAGCATGGAACCTAGAAGCCCTCCCCGTTATTTGCTGTTGGTATCGCAAGCTGGGGTCTTAGATCACAGCCCTATTAGAGATTTATGGGTTGGATGATCCAGGAAAATCATCTCTGGAAGCTCAGAGTTGAGGGCCAACTTGACCTACAGACATGAGCCCCCTGCCCTCTACATCTCTCCTGGCTCCCTCCTTGGAACCATCTCACCCAGTCAGGCTTCTTGCCCCTAAACAAGAGCTCCTGGGGTCCTCCTCATGGCAGAGGAGAGGGGAGAGGCTGCCATGGCTCTGGGCAGGTGAGACCTGGTCTGGCGTTGCTGGGCAGCCAGTTGGCAAGTGCCCAGCATCAGTTATGGCTGTCCTGGCCTCTGCCTGACCCCAGGATTGGCTTCTTGTCCTTCACTTCTTTCCAAGCTCATTGCCCCTCAGCCTGTTCTAACCCTTTCTAGGCCTCCCTCACTCTCCTGTCTTCCCTATCTCCAGGCCCCAGACCTTTGTTCCAGCTTCTCTCCTATCTTTCATCCCCAGCCTTGCCTCCCTCTTCCCCTCTCCTGCCCCTCATCCCTCATCCCTCCCCAGCCCTGCCCTGGCACCCCAAGCTTTGCTTCACCTGTCCTGTCTCAGAGCTGTCGCCTCCCTTCCTTGGATACCTACAGGCCCTCAGCGGTATTTCCTGAGTGTCCTCTCCCCACTCTGCCCACTGTACCACCCAGCATCAAGCCTTCCCAGACCCCCAAGTTACCCCTTTTCTATGCGGGCACCTCACCTCGCCCCCTCCGCGACATGCTCATCCATGCTCCCAGCCAATCCAACGCGTGCCCCTCAGCCCATGCTCACTCCCACACACATGAACACACCCCTCCACCTACACACCCACACTCACGCCCACACTTCCACAGACACGCCCCTACACACACCACTCTCTCCCCCCCCCACACACACTTCCACTTTCCTGCCCGTACGCACCAGCCGGCCCGCCTCGTTGTTGTGCAGTTGCACCAACGCGCGGATGTCTCCGCGTCCCCGCTTGTGCTGCGCGTCCATAAAGAGCCTGGACTTCTCATCTCCGAAGTCCACGTCGTCGCCACAGCCTCCCCATTCCCACGCCGCGCTGCCTTCCTGGGAGCCCGCAGGGCCGGGGGGTCCTGGGGTGCCGGGCAGGCCAGAGGGCCGGGGCGGGGCCCGCCCGCGAGGCGCCTGGCAGCCACACTGCAGCAGCTCGCCCATGGAACAGGCCTGCGTGACCGCGTGGCTGGCGCCCGCTGCGGTGATCGCAAACACGAAAGCTGTCTCCCGAATGTCTGCGGGTGCAGGGAAAAGAAGTCAGTGCGCAGGACCGCAGCTCAGGCCCAGGGCCTGCGTTGGGCGGGACAGTGTGGTGGCCTCAGGAAAGGCCTGGAAGACAAGGTCCAGCAGGGTGTCTAGACCCCAGCGGGCAACGGGGGCTCTGGCAACCTCCCCATCCCAGCTTCCATCTCTTGTGGTCCCCCAGCTAGAAGAAAGCAGCCCCACTCCCCCCCCCACCCTCCCCTAAACACACTGACCCTGCTGCAGGATGCGGCCAAAGGCCTTGCTGTGGCTAGAGCAGTTCCAGCGGCGGAAGCGAAACTGGAACTGACACTCTCGAACCCCGAGCCGGGCGCCCCGGGCTAGCTCTGCCACCACTTCCGGCTCAGCCTGGCACAACTCGGCCTGCCGCCCGGCCAGCCGCCTTGCCTTCCTGCAGATGCTGGTAGGGTCCATGACCAAGGGGCTGCCCACGGCCCTGGGGAGCAGAGAACATCAGGTTAGGGGTGTAACCCAATAAAAGGGCTTGGGTTGGAGGGGAGGAAGACCAGCCCCACTCAGCCCACAGCCAGGAGCTGTGACATGCCTCCCCACCCTACCCCCAACTGAGCTTGAGATTCCTTCCTGCTTCTGTTACCATTCCATGTCTGTGTCCCCTCTTAGCAAGATTCTAGACTGAAAATTGCTATAGAGCAAGTAGTCAGTCTTATCCTTCTGTGTACATCTTCATTAATAAATCCTTATAAGAATTTGACTCAAGGTGAAGGCAGCTGGCCAGGTAGGCCAAGGTTAAAATTCAACAGGCCTAGCCCAAAAGGGAGACAAGGAAAAAATTAGCAGACAAAAGATCAAGAAGGCTGTGGAGGGAGAGAAAGCGTGTGTCATAAGGAGACACCAAAGAAAAGTAGGCAGTGTCCGGGAAGAATCTGGTCCTAGTGGCCCACAAACTGGACATGTGTCAGCTGAACTGATCTAATGAAAGGCAGGGCCAATTCCAGGGAGATAGAATGCCATGAGCTATTAGCATGGTTAAAGAATGGAACCTCTGAGGAAAGTCACACACACCCCTCTAGCCCAAGTTTCTCCTGTAAAACGGGAGGGCTGGGCTTTGATTTCTAAGGTGGGCTCTCCCACCCTGATGTCCTCTGCTTCCCTTAACAGGGGAGCAGGAGGAAGGAGCTGGGGCCCAAGTCTCTGAAGCATTATTGGAAAGTAGGGGACACTGACCCTTCTCCTGTTCCAGGATCTGTGGGCTTCCCAGAGCAGGATGGCAGGGAGCCAAGCCCTGCACACTGGGGTGACCTAACTGATTGGGGAAGGGGGACAATGTTTGGCTTGGTGGATGATGACCTCATGGGAAGTTCCACATACAAGACAGCTGCCGTATACCAGACCCCTGAAGGTTAAGTCAAGTAGGGATTCATACCTGGGGGAATTGCTGTAATCAGATTGCTTCTATTTGAACACTTAGCTGGGATCCCTGTCTTAGAGAATAAGTGAGCGGAGTACATGGGAACCAGGAGTAATTTAAGACCACCCAAAAACCTTTCTGCAGAGGGCAGAAAAAGGACCCTGGGTGGGGAGAGGAGGCACCAGGAGATAGAAATTGTAGAGGAGAATGGTGGTAGTAAATAGTGCCAAAGGTCAAGGTGGCCTACTTTTTGGTTTTGCTTTAGTGCATATCCGCCCCACTGTCCCCATTTGCTCCACAAGCACAGGCTGCCCAGACATGTTCTGGCCCCACAACAATGAGATGTAATGGTCTTAAATAGCAGCAAGAGGAATTTAGGTCTTAAGGTAGAACTCTCAACACTGAGGAGTGAGATGCTTAAAGAGGTGATTGTAGAAAGACGTGTAAGCTCAGTCCTTTAAGGTCTACTACTCCCCCCAACCCCGTCACACACCCCTCCACACACACACACACATGATCAGGTTGCCATCATCATCCCTACCCAAGTAGTTCAGGAACCAGACATCTCTACTCAGGGGACAGACTTACAGCTCAGACCTTCCCTTCCCTCCATATACTTAGGACCTGCTCAGCACCAGCCCCCACCCTCCCCCAACCTAGAGAAGTACCAACGGAGGGAGCAGTGGAGTGTGGGGCTGGGGTAGGTTCCCAAAGACCCAGTGACTTTGAGAGTTGATCCGTCTCTCTGGATCTATCCATCTATCTATCCCAACTAATTATAAAAAGGATTTGAGGCAGCTTCCAGCATGGTTGTCCAGCGTCAGTAGACAAGACTAGGAGCTCCTTGAGTGTAAAGTCTGTCTTATTATCCTTTGTCTCCCCTGGCAGATTTTGAGGTTCTTAATTCATACTTTCCCCTAATTCTTATTATTAAAATTTGCCTATTATGAATTCTATGTTATATATGAATAATATTAATATATATCATATATTATACTACAATGAACACCATTTAGTACACATCTTTGAATGAATGAATGAGCCATCTGGGGAGAAGGTCCCCACTTGAGCTCAAGCCCTTGTCCACATGTTATTTCATGACTTCTAATTCATTTCCTCAGACATTTATTCTCCCCCATTGGGAATTTGAGGCAGGGAATAAGTCCTCTCTGCAGTTGACCAGCTCATCCCCTGGACTTGTATGTGTAGGACTCCACCTGGGAGTCTAGGACTCTGCAAACTCATCCTCCCCACCCCTACTGCCCCTGCTGCTCTGTTCCTCAGTCCCTCTCCTCACCCCTGCCCTCTTCTAACTCCCTGCTTTCCCAAGGTTGACTGGCCTTATCTTCCCAAGGTTACTCTGCCCCATCCCTCTCCTCTCCCTCCTCCTCTTCCCCTAGGAAAGCAAGAGGGAGTGGGGACAAGCAAGAGAGAAGGTGAAAATCTCCTGACCTCCTCTGCTTCCCAGGGGCTAGAGATAGGAGAGGAATCATGAGGAGTAGGAAGAGCAGGGCCTGTCAGGAGGTGGGGCTGGGTTTGAGGGGCTGCCCAGAGCCAGTTTCTGGTCTGGGTCTGGCTCCCCAGGCTGGCTGGCTGCCTGGGAACTAGACTTGTTTACGAGCTGACCAGGAGGAGGATGGGCAGTAGTAGCAGCTAGAATCCCAAGGGACCAGCTCATTCCCTGCCCTCCTGTCCTCGCTCCCATCCTAAATACATAGGAAATGAAACTCCAGAAGGGCCATGGCAGGGGACACTGGGCAAAACACCAAGCCTTGCTTCTGAACCCTGGTTTCCATCAGCTCTGTATGACCTGAGCCACTCTGGGCAAGTCAGTTCCCTTTATGGGCTTCAGAAAAATGAGAAGTTAGCATGAGAGGCTCACATAGCCCCTTTAACATTACATTAAATCTAACTTTAACATTAGATTCCACATCAAGAAATAACTCCTCCACCTCCCCTCTCCTTTTACCTTCCTTCCCTCCTTCTTTCTGCTTCCTTAGAGAATGAACTCTGCGTTTTTGCACTTCTGGGTCTGCATTGGCCTGGGGTCAGCCTGGAGAAGATGTGCCCCTTGGGAGCTTGGAGCACAGCGGTGGTAGGCAATGCACAATATATAGGACCTAAGCAAGCAGCCGTTCCTGGGCATAGAAAAGCTGAGGCCAGATCTAAAAGAAATCAGTGTGTGGACCAGAAGGGACAAGCCTAAGATTGGTCATCCTAACTGCCTTGGCCTGTGCCAAGACCCCTCCCAAGGACCACGGCTGGTAGGATCAGTGGCAACAGGGGCCAGCTAGTTCCTACTGGCAACATCTGTAGACCTAAGCCCTGGAGGTCCCAGGGCACTGGCCTAACCTTACCTTTCTGCCACTGGATTCAGAGGGCCAAAGAGAAAACCAGAGATCATCCAGTCCAGCCCCACCCACCCCACTCTTGTTATACAAATGAACGAATATGAAAGGAGAGGTGACAGAGGCTGGCCACTTGGTGGAAGGATCTCCACTGTAAGAAAATTTAGGTGAATATTTAAAACACCAAACAGGGCTGGAGGGAAAATGGCAGGCGGCCTGCTACACCATCCCCCACATAGCCCCTTACTCCTAGCAGGGATGCCTAACTGAATCTATCCCACATCACACCACAAAGTTTCTGCACTCAGATCTACCTGCTGTGCACCCCTAAGTCATCAAATCTCAGCCAGCATCTCTCCAAACTCCCCTCTGATCCCACTTGCCCTAAGGAGCCTCCCCAGGGCCCCAGCCTGTGCCAACACCCCTATGGCTCCAGGTGTCACTCATCTGGCCGGTGCTTGTTATCCTGCCAGTGGCATAATTAACTTTTCATGTTCGCTTGTCTTCTCTCTCCAATTAGGTAGAAAATTCATTAAAGTCAAAAATCTCACAAGTGGGCATGATGTCATTAGCAGAGTACACTCAGGGCTTTGGGGATCCACCAGACTTGGGCTCGGATCTGGACTCTGCCATTTGATTGTTCTGTGATGCTGAATGAGTCCCTAGCATGTGGAGTTAGCACTTAGCATTTGTTGGCTAGATTATGAGACTTAACTTCCTGAGCCTCAGTTCTCTCAACTGTAAAATGGTAATAATACCTGCCTATTTCCAGGGTACATACGTAAAAGACCTGTCCAGAGGGTGGCCTTCGACAACTATTTTTTTGTCTTCTCATTCACACTTTTACATATCTCTTAGGCCTGCACAGTGCAGGACAAACAGGTGCAGGCAGCATTGGTGGATTGCTGAGAACATCCATTGCCCCAACTTTTCCTCCTTCTCCATCCGGCCCTGCTCAGAGACCAGATGCACCCAGAGGACTCTCTACCCTTTCCCAGCAGGCACTCCTGGTGGATTATTGAGGCCGAAGGGGTCACACAGGCCCTCTTGTTACTCAGCCTTCTCTGGTATGGTCTCATAGCTGTCCTCCCTCTATTTCCCCACCCCCACTCCCAAAGTCCCTAGACTGACCCCACCTCCCAGAAGCCAGCAGAGGGAGCCCTGAGCCCTGGGGCTGTGGGTGGGAGTTGCACGGGGGTGGGGGAGGTGGGTGGTGGAGAAGGGGCAGAAAAATGTTGCCTGACGGCTGCTGAGGCGGCTGGGCCCGGGCCTGTGCCCGCCAGCCTGTCCTGTCCTGCTCTGTCTAACTCGGTAATTACTGCTCCCCCTCCCCCAGTCCCTACCCCCACCCCAACCACCACATCAAAGCCAGTGATGCCCCAGCCCCATTAACCCCTGCCTCCCCACTGCCCACCAGCTGCCCCCACACTGCCCCTCCTCACCCCTGGCCCAACTTGGTTCTGTGTGTCCTTCTTATACTTCTCATCACTCTTGGGAGAGGCAGGGGCTTCCCTTCCTGGACAGACATCACTGTGCACAGGGGCTTCCTATTGACCAGGGCGGGGGGAGCAAAAGGATGGGCTGATGGGCCTCCACTGGATGCCGTGAGCAGAGTCTGTCCTTAGCCCTCTGCTCTCTGCTCTCCCAGGTCCGGGTGTGGGCACCCACCTGAGGGTGGGATGGGAGAGCAGGAGGGGCCTGTGGAAGGCTCCATACCCTTTTTCTGATCCCCCATCCCACTGCACTGCACACAGGGATGAGCGCAGATTCAGCCTCCGCTCTCAGCTTCCAACATTCTGGGTGGCCCTGGGCAAGTCACCTCCTGTCCCTGGCCTTTGCTGCCCTCACTAAGTAGGTGAGAATATTAGACCAGGTGATCTCTAAGTCCTTGCTAGATCTAACTTCTGAATTAAACACAGGGCTCAGAGCTGGAGGAACTAGCCAAAGAGGCCAGGATGGAGAGGGGGAGAGGCCTCCCAGAGACCTTTGGCTCAGCTCCTCCTCAGGCAGTTCTGGGGAAGCCCCAGGTGGCACCCTGCCCAGGCAGGAAGGAGGGGGCAGGCTAGGGGGCGCTCCCCACCCGTCCTCTGAGGACAGGCGCCTGTGGTCCCGAGTGCCTCCTGCTCTGGCTGGCGGCGCCCTGCTGCCAGCCTGCCCGTGGCCTGGCCGCCTGCCCTGCCCTCTTCTCATCCCCTCCACAGCTGTGTTTCTCCATCAAAGTGCACACTCTGGGCCTGGTGATCAAGCCTCCCACTGACCTCCCTCCACCAACTCCTGGCATCCGATGAGAACGAAGAAGGAGGGGGCTGCACCCCCCAGGAAATGTCACAGTGCCAGGACTCTGGTGGGCTCAGGGCATGCTCTGGCTCGGATTGGGACAGCCTCCTTTTGCCCCTGCCCTTTTCTGCTCACAGCCTCATTGTCTCTCTCCAGGGGAAGCTGCCAAGGCGGGAGGCCTGGAGGGGGGAATGGATGGCCACCCCACCCCACCCTAGAGCTTGGCAGGGGCCAGAAACAGGACTGCCCATGAAGAGTCAGGAGCCCCCAATGAAGACAGGATGGGAAAGGGTGGCCAGGCCCAGCCTGGGGTGGGAGAGGTGGCTGGAAAACCTGGGTGTCAAGAAGAAGCCTGGGACCTTTCCCTGCCTCCCTGTGGAGCCAGAGATGAGGCTGTCTTAGGCTGCTGGCTCCTGTTTCCATAAGTGAAGAGGGAGGAGGGTGAAAGGCAAGATGGGATGGGGAAAGGGAGTGAGACTGGGTGGTGTTTTCCCTAGTGGAACAAGGGGAGGGCTAGTTTCTTTCATAAAAATATAAAACAGAAAGAGGAAGAGAGAGAAGGGAGATTGATTTGGCTATTCTATGAAAGTGAGCTATTTTCTACAGCCACTGATTGAAGGTATAAATAAAGATGGATCAGACATTGTAAAGAACTTCCTGGGGGCAGCGAGCAAAAGGAGAGCAGGGAGCAGAGTGTGTGTGGCGGGGAAAGCTGGTGATCAGGAAGCCATGGTGTCTCCCTCTCTGCCTCACTCCCAAGACAGGGTTTGTCAGGGCCAGAGCATAGGCCGGATGGCTGGGAGGCAGTAGGCTAGACAACATGACCTCAAGAGCACCTGGCCAATGTCCTAGAATCTGTGATTCTGTGATTCACAAAGATATGGATACAGATGGAAAAGAGACAGACAGAGAGGCTGGAGGCAGAGTTCAGAAAGCATGCATTGCATTGCGGGAAGGCAGGGGAGTGTGAAAGAAGGTGGAAGGGAAACTTTTCAAAAACTTGAAGCCAGGTCCTGGAGCCAACTCCAGGATCCCCCTGTCCTGACCAGGAGATTTGAGTCACTCAGAGGTCCTGGAGTCCTCTCTGCTTCCAGCCTGGCTGCTGCTAGAATGTCACAGTGGGCTACAGTAGGCTGCTGCAGGTCCAGGGGTTTTCCTGGCCACAGCTGGGGCTCTGACTGGCCAGGATTCCCTAAGAAGCAGAGAAAAGAGGGCCAGCAAGCAGGTGCTAGACATCAAGGAACAGCATGGAAGCCCCTGGCCCAAAAGGTCCCAGCTGAAGTGATACTGAGGGTTATGGGGAGAGTGGCAGGAGGCTCAAGCCACCAGGAATGCTTGGTCCAACCCATCAGCCTAAACCTGACCTTGGAGGGAAGTAGTGGGGTGGCCTGGGGACAGGAGTGTAGAGTAGAAGATTCTGGGAATGGGAGTCTGAGCTCAGACCAAAGAGATGAAATGTCAGAAATAGACAGAGGAGAGTGAGGGAGCCCAGGCAGACATGAGAGGCACGTTCTGTCTGAGACACATCTGAGTGAGGCAGCCGCCGGACACCTTATCACCGGGGCCTCTCACTCTTCACCCTGCTCTCCCTGCAGCTGTGGCCATGAAGGCCTCTGTGTTCTCCCACACCTGCCCTCCTCTCCTCCTCCCCCACTCCCTGATTCCCAGCTTCAGGGTCAGTCTCCAAGGGACCAGGCCTCTCTCTCTTGGCTTGGCTCCCATCCAGCAGTCCCTCCTGAACAAAGGAACCCCCACAGATACAAACCCCAGAAAGGGGAGTCAACCAGTTCAATAACACTCCACAAACCTCCAGCACCTATGCTGTCCTGGGCCTGGAGGGTCCTAACGACAAAGGCTCTGCCCTCCAGGAGCAGGGAACAGACTCAACAGGAGATGGTTGTCAGGACAAAGCAGTCACTAGCACAGTTGCCCAACGTAAGAGGTACAGTGGCAGCACAGAGAAGGCAACTGGAGGCAGGACAAAGTGACAGCTTCATGGAGGAAGTGGTATTTTAATTGTAAGAATAATTATTTTTAGGCCAGGCACAGTGGCTCATGCCTGTAATCCTAGCACTCTGGGAGGCCGAGGTGGGTGGATCCTTTGAGCTCAGGAGTTCAAGACCAGCCTGAGCAAGAGCAAGACCCCATCTCCACTAAAAAGAGAAAGAAATTAGCTGGACAATTAAAACTATATAGAAACAATTAGCCTGGCATGGTGGCACATGCCTGTAGTCCCAGCTATTTGGAAGGCTGAAGCAGGAGGATTGCTTGAGCCCAGGTGTTTGAGGTTGCTGTGAGCTAGGCTGACACCACGGCACTCTAGCCCCAGCAAGAGAGTGAGACTCTGTTTCAAAAAAATAAATAAATAACGATTTGGACAGATAAGGAGGGAGGGAAGGGAACACAATGGCCATCAGGGAATGACCCTGTCCCCACACCTTGAAAAAGGGCAAAAGTAGGAAAGGTGTGTATGGTGGTGGCAGGAGAGAGATCTCTTTACAAAGTTTTGCTTGGGAGCCTGAATTTTAAATTTAAATGAATCGCCCTTTTCACTCCTGGGGACCCCTAGCCACAGGAAGCTGGGTTCTGAAGAGGCACTACATCTACTGAGTACCTCCTAACGTCAGATCCTTTTGTAGGTCTTCCCACCTAAATTTCCCAGCAAGCCTTCCAGGTAGAGAGGCTGTCATCCCTTCTTTACAGTTGAGACTGGGAGGCAGGGAGAGGATGTGACTTGCCCAGGGTCACAGACATAAGTTAGATCTCATGCCTGTCTATTTCAAAACTACCACTACTGCATGATACTAAGCCAGGATCAAGGATGTATGTTCCCTAGCTGGGACCTGGGTCCTCCTCGATTTGCCCCCTCACTGACACCGGTGAGAGACGTCTCTCCGCATCACGGAGGAGGGAGGGATCGTGGCCCGCCGCTCCCTGTGAGGGCATCCTCCCTATCTCTCCAGAACAGAGGGATCTGTCTCTTCCAAATCCCGGCAGTGGGGGAGGAGTGGAGGATAAGAATCCAGCCAATCACGTGGCTATATGCAAATTGACAAGACCCTTTCTTCTTGGGATTGGCTGATCCGTCAGCGCTATTGTCCAAGTCCCTCCTCTGTGAACACTGAGCTATTCCAGGCGAGTGTTTGCGGCTCTGGACACTAAGGAGGGAAAAAAGTCTTCAGGATCTGGATCCCCAGGCTGTCCCCGGCCGCACACCCACATACCCTGCCCTGCCCCTGCCCCACTCCCCAAGGCTGGAGCTCCCGCAACCTTCGCTGCCTAGCTAGGGCCAGGTCCAGGGGCCAGATCTGGCAAGACGCCCCCATCCCTTGGCTGGCCAGCCCTTCTCCCTTTCACCAGGACTCTCCCCGGTTCCCAGAGCTCAGCCGCTGCACACTTTTTTCATTCGTGACCCTCACGTCTGGAAGGGTCTGGCGCCTGGGTGCCTTTCCTGCCTTTCCTCCACTTCCTTGCTCCAGGAGGAGGAGGTGGAGAAGCCAGGGTCCTGACTCAGTTTCCCCTTTACCACTCAGTTTCCCTTTCTCGCCACTACCACTCACTCTGAAGAAGCCCGGAGAGAAGCCGGTGGGTCGCTAGGCAAAGCGGGGCGGGGAAGAGACAGCTGTTTGACCCTCTCTGTCTTGTGGCTCCCCAACTTGTTCCTCTCTTTTCCCCAAATCCAGACCCCTACTCTAAATCCAGGGACCTCCTCACACGTTCTTTTCTTCCGCTATCTGCCTCCCCAGTAGGTCTTCCCTACCCACACGCCAATACCTTGGTAACCTGGATTGAGCACATGACCTGGGGGGGTAGGGGACAACAGGGGGGGGGAGGAAACACAGTAGAATGTGCCCGGGGTTAAGAACGTCTAAGTAGCAGTTCAGAAGTGCCCCAGGCGGAGGTCGGGAGGAGAGCCGCACGCGCCTGGTCCGCGTGCCCCGCGCCACTGCCCTGCGGCTGGGCTCCATGAGCAGGTAGAGCCCGGAGGCGGCGGGAGCGCGGTGCGGAACTCGCCGGCGGTCTCCAGGTCCCCACCCTGGAGCGTCCAGAGCCGCGCCGGGACAGCAGGACGCGGAACTCACCACCACAGTCCGCCGACGTGCGCCGGACACAAGAGCAGCAGCAGCAGCAGCCTGAGGCGGGAGGGCGCGGGCGGCAGCATCGTGACCGCTCTACGGCCGGCGGGAGTGGGCGGCGCGCGAGGCTGCGGGGCGAACCGGCGTGCGCGAGGGCCCGGGCTTCAGGGCAAGCGCGACGGCGGCGGCGGCGGCGGCGGCGGCCGGGAGGCGATGGCTCCGGCGGCGGCGGCGGGGGGGCCCATCCCCTGCGAGGAGGGCGCGGCGGAGGCGGAGAGCGGACGGGGCAGCCAGCGCCTGTGTCTTCTGCGGAGCTCGCTCGGGAGAAGAAATCAGAGCCGGGGGCGGGGGTGGGAGGGGAGCGGGGCCGGGGCGGGGGCGGGGGGCAAGGGGGTGGCAGTTGCGACAGTCAGGCGGCGGGACTCTCGGGAGCGAGCCGTGCGCCCCGGGGCTGCGGGCGCGGAGCGCAGCGGAGGGCGGGAGCCGGGTGCCGGGGCGGGGCCCGAGGGCTCGTGGCTGTGGGACCCGCCCGCCTCGCCCCTCGCCTCGCCCCCTCACCCCTTGCCTCTCCCGGACTGCGAACCCCCGCCACCCCCGGCCTCCCGGAGTCCGGTGCTAGGAAGGGCGGGGAAGAGAAGTGGAGAAGGGTAAGGGGGGGAGGAAGAGAAGCTGAGGAATGGGGGACGGGCTGGAAGGGAGACGTTTGACAGGTTTGTTGACTGTAAAGAGAGAAAACTTCCCAGGAATGAGGGAGTTGGGGGGGGTGCGGAGGGAGATGCTGGCGCGGGGGCCGGGAGAGGAAGTTGGCCTGGGGCGCAGGGTGCTCCGGTGAGGGGTGTCAAACTCCACCGCCCGACTGGCGGACCGTGGAGTACCTAGTCAGTAACCTCTTACCGTGTCCCACCTCGGTGCCGCACGCCTTCCTCATCGAGGCTGAGGAAGGGAGGAAGCCCTAGGCCTCTGTTCTCTCTCCCCAGCCGTCCCTCCTCTTCAAGCCCACGTTCGGGGGCGGGGAGGGGGGAGATTAGACAGCAAGAGGAGCCTCTCATGAGCCTGCGCTCTAGCGCTGCTCGCACGTGCCAGTGAGCGGGACTGCGGAGGTTGCAAACTTGCAAGAGATTGAGGGGTCAGAACTCACTGCAGTTGCCTTGCGTGTCCATGAGTCCCTGCCTCGAATTCCTCCCCCAACTCGCCCCGGTAGAAGGGGTGGGAGAGCCAGCTGCAGGTGAGATGGCTTTATCTGATTTTCTAATGCCACAAAAATGTCTTTGATGCCTCTGGCCCCCTCCCCACGGGGGTGGGGGGGAGATCAAAGGCCCCGTGGGGAGGAGGGACAGCTCCATTCATCACGCCAAGCGTGATGGCAGCGGGCAGCAGCCCCTGCTCCTCCCACCGGGGCAGAGGCCTCGACGACGACGTGCCCCAGGGGTCCTGAGGGACAGGTGGTGTGGGACATGCTGAAGCTAGGGCCAGTCTCCCTACCACCACCATCTAGAGCTTACATCAACCTTTAAGGATGACCTGGAGTGGGGAGGACAGAGCCGGAACCTGAAGTCTATGTGGCAGAAACTTCAGGCTCCTGGAAGAAAGCTCCTGGTCCTTTGAGGGTGCGGGAACACCTGAACGTGGGGACCAATGTCACTGCCAAGGGAGACAAACACCCCCGGCGAGCAGAGACAAGACTAAATCTTGACTCCTCCAGGAGGTGGGGACAAGTGGATCAAGATGAGGCTGGGGCCAGGTGCAGGCGACCCCAGGGGAAGAAGCCAATCTGGGGAAGGAAGGATGAGCCATCAGAGAACAGAGTACTAGGGAAGAGTTGGCCTGGGCGCATGAGAAAGCCCCTGGATTTTCTGGGAGCCCCAACTCAGGGCCCTGGTGTCCAGGCTGTTTCAGTTCAATCCCTTGTTCTGGGTACAGAGAGTTCCGGTGAAGGGCCTGGGGCACCCTAGGGAAGGGGAGGGGGTGCTGTGGCTGAGAGAGAGAGTGAGGGGGCCTGTTCCAAGTGCTGTCCTCTCCCACTTTAGCCTTTAACAGTGTCCAAATGCCATGCACAGCCCTGCACCTAGTAATTTTGTACACAGTTGCTATTTCTGCAGGACAGTGCCAACTTTGGACACTGCACATTCAAAGACATACCCAGGTTGGGCATGCACTCCTGCCATATGGTGCCAAATGGGCAGCAGGAGGGCTCTGGAGGTGCCTGGAGGCTGCAGGTGGCCAATGACCAGCCTCGTGGGGGCCACTGCCTGGGTTCTGGACCCCCTGCCCACCCCTGCCCCACCCCGCTACTGTTATTGCAGATTATGAAATGCTCTCCCTATCCTGCATTCTTCTCCGAGGCAAGAATTTTAATGTATTTGTCTTTGTCATCAGGGGACCTGGGCTCTGGGACCGCCCTGCCTCTGCCTGAGGAGGGAGCGCCCCAAATGTCGTCCCTGTTGCCTCTAAACCCCAACCTCTCTCTATTACCACCCCTCCCCCATGCCCTAGCCCTGCCCCTGGCCTCCCCCTCCTAAGACACTGTCTCTCTGTGGGGTGGATAAAAATGATGTTATTGAAACAACAGAATTGGGAGCAGTGGCAGGGAGCAGGGATCAGCTCAGGAAACTGGGGCGTTTGCCAAGAAGCCTTCTCCCCCGCAGGCGGCCTTTCTGCCCCCACCCCCACCTTTCCTACAAACACACACAGCTCACCCCACCCCTCCTGCAGCACTCGCTCTGGCCAGATCTTGTAGAATCTTTTGCCATCCCTGGACTCCTCAAGCCTTAATTCTTCCCCTACAGAGTCTCATTCCACAATCAGTTGGCCCAGTAGTGTCTGCAGAACACGAGGGCAGGGGAGGGTGGGCTAGAGCCTGTGGTGGGCAGACCTCCTGAAGCCCCAATTCCCAGCGCTTGGGTTCCAAGGGCAACTTGCTTCTGCCCACTCCCCTTGGTCCTCTCTGCATCCTCAACTAAGGGTTGGCTGGCTTCTCGGTAGAGCCAGAACAAGGACTCCTGTCCTTATGCCCCCTAAAATTTCCAAGAGTTGTGCTCAGATGTTCCTAAGGCTTCAACCCACTACTATCACCTTAGAAGACTTACTGAAGAGCAGGCCTGGGGACCCAGGAGATACAGACCACGGCACACAAAGAGAGATCAAGATGTGTGCAGACACATGCACACTCACACACACCAACAGCTGGACTCAGGCTTCCAGTTAACCCCACAGAAAACACGGAACACCCTGGTCTTGCCTGGACGATGCTGGGAAACTTTCACCCACAGGTATGGACAGACACACAGATGGCTGGCTCAGCCTGAGAACACATGACTGCCTCCCTGGAAATCACACACATGTGTATGCACACACACACACAACCTCTGCACTGACATGTATGCAGAGGAACATTCACTAGAGACTGGAGAGGGAAGACAGTGGCCCAGCATGAATTGGGGGGTGCAAATCTGACCCCACTCTCTGCCCTCTGGGTGCAAATCTGACCCCACTCTCCACCCCTTCCTGCATCACTCCGCCTTAAGTCCTGGGAACCCGCAAACACCACTTCTAGGCCCTGGTGCAAAACAGAGACGGAGAGACATGGGTGTCTGGCCGTGGCGCTGAGGAGGAAGGAGGGGCAGAGGTGGGGACTGAGGAGGGGAGAGGCAGCTGGAGAGAGATAACATCAGAAATGCTCTGGGCGAGAGCAGAGCCCTCTGTCTTTGCCGGATTCTCTCTTGCTGTCTTTCTGTGTCTTTTCACGTCTCCCTCATGTCCATAATTCGGTCTCTATTTGTCTGTCTCTAAATCACTTTCTCTGTTTTTTTGTTTCTCAGAATGACTGAAGCTGCAGGAGCCCAGGAATTTGGGCCTGTGACCCTTCCCCTCCCAATAACCTCCCTCTCTCCTCCCTCCCTACTCTCCTTTCTCCCTCCCTCTGTCCCTAGCAATGGGACCTAACTCCTATCCCTTCAGGGAGGGGACAGGCCTTGAGAATTCCTAAGAGCCCTGGGTTTCTGGGTCCCAGGAGAACAGAGAGAGGAAAGGCCAAGCCCATAGAGGGATGGAGGGAAGGGAAAGAGAGAGAGAGAGAGGAGAGAGGAGGGAGGCTCATTTTGCTCTGCCTTCCATGCCCCAGACAGCTCTGCTCCAGCTCTCCCCAGCCCACCTGAAGTCAGGAGGATGTGCCTTTCTAGCCAGAAGGTTCCCAGCTTTAGCCAGAGTCTTATCCCTGCCTTGCAGGCTGGCGCTGAGTTCCCTAAGACGTCCTCTGGGCCTCTGTCCAAGGGAATCCCCCATTCCAAGCCCCAGTTCCCCACAGAGCCCACCTGCCTCAGGTCTTCCACATCTTTCAACCCTGCCCATGCCCCCAGTCATCCCATCAGTCCTGGGAGAAAGAAAAGGGGGGCGGGGGAGAGGGTGAACGAGGGGGCGGGGAACAAGTGCTGAGGAGGGAGGGGCTGCTGCTCACCCACCACGACTGGGCTGGGGGAAAGCCAGGGAACATTTGTTTCCACTTAGCTCAGCCCCAGTGGGCCCGAGTGGGAGTGGTTGGCCCCAGGAGCCTCTACAGCCAGCAGGACCCAGGCTGGCTCCTGCCCTAATCACCGTGGGGTGGGCAGAGGGCCCTGGCATGCTCTCAGGTGTTCTGGGGAGGAGCCTCTGCCCTATTCGCGCCTCACTGCTCCATTCTTCTCCAGCGACACCACCAACCCCCACCGTTCAGCTCTGCCTCTGAGCGAA